ATTTAGGAAAACCTGAAGCAGGATCCAAGACAGGTCAATCCTATGGTTAAGCAAGTGGCAACAGCTTGGGTGGGACTGAAAGTTGGGTGGGGCGGGGCCTCAGGGAATCACCATGGCGGGGCTACCAGTGTGAGCCAGGTTGCTGGAGTCCCAGATATAGCGGCTGTGTGTCGCCCCAGGGAAGGGCTCACCAAAGGAACAAAGGCCATTTGTCCCGGAGAAAGCCCCCTCTCCAGCCCTCACTCTAGTGCCAAACAGCTCAGTTCTTCCCTGTATGTCTCTGGCGCCCCTCGAGCTGCCTCCCCTCCAAGCTTAGAGGGAGAGAGTCCAGTAAGTCCGTGTGGGGGCCCTTTAAGAGGAGCTGCCTGGGGCTCCAGCCGCCTCAGCCTCCCTGAGCCTCAGTTCCCGCTGGTTTTTCCAGCCAGAAGTTATGGGGATTCTCTTCCTGGCACTGGAACCCTGAGCGGGGCGCCTGGCGTGGGACGAGGACCCCTCAGTCCTCAGGGAGGACCTTCCCAGCCGAGGTGTCCTCCTGATTTTTATCCGCCACACGTGGGTGTGGGACCAGCCTGTCCCCTCCGCCCTCCTACCAGTCTGGATGTGGCTGCTGCTTTAATTCCGTAGTTGTAGGACTTCCATTCAGCTTGATTTCAGGTGGTTCTGAATGATCGTTTTTCTGTAGTTTAGTTGTAACTTTGATGTGGTTGTGGGAGGACGCGATACCTCGTTTACCTACCCGCCATCTTGACCGCATGTTATATATTTTAGAGTTGGGATTGCAATCCACTTAGGAAACAGTGCAGTTTTTTTTAATTATCCTGAGACAATTCAGAGGGAAGACTTAACATTGGATCCCTACACATAGCATTAACATAAATCGATTCCATGCAGAAAAATATTTGAATGTGAACAAAAGATTTTTAACTTTTAGGAGAAAATTTAGAAGATTATCCTCATGAGCTTAAGTAAGAAAGCATTTCTTAACAAGGATACGATAGCAAAAAAAAAAAAAAAATTCTTTTTTTTTTTTTATCCTCACCTGAGGACATTTTTCCATTTTTTGCTCAGAAAGAGTGGGAGGAAGAGAGAGGGAGAGAGAAACATCGACGTGAAAAAGACACATTGAGTGGCTGCCACCCGCACCACCAACCAGGGCCATGGACAAACTGCAACAGAGGTACCGCCCTTAGCGGAAACCAAACCCAGGTCCCTCTGGACCACAGGTTGACACTCTAACCACTGAGCCAAACTGGCCAGGGCGCAAAAAAAAATCTTAAACATTGAAGGAGATGAGTGGGAAAAAATGAAAGAGTTAAGAAGTACAAATTGATTGTTAGACTCATGAACCTCAAAGGGAAGGGGGAGGGAGGGCAGGAAGAGATACACCAAAAAACTTCTATGCACATGTGTACAACCAATGGACACCAACAATGGTGGGAAGGCAGGAGTGGGTGGGATTGGAGAGGAGGGGGTCAATGAGGGAAAAAAGGGGGGAAATTTGTAATACATTCAACAATAAAGATAAGTGTTAAAATTTTTTTAAAATTGATAAATTGACTTTATTAAAATTATATCAATACTGCCCTGGCTGGTTTGGCTCAGTGGTTGGAGCATCAGCCTGTAGTCCAGAGAGACCCAGGTTCAGTTCCTGCTAGGGGCACGTACCAAAAAAAAATAATTATAGCAATCCTAAGATACTTAAAAATATGTCATAAATTAGAGGGAGTAATTTTAATACAAATAACTGATATAGGCCGGCTGGTGTGGTTCAGAGGTTGAGCGTCGACCCTGCACCAAGAGGTTGACTGTTCGATTCCTGGTCAGGGCACATGCCCAGGTTGTAGGCCTGATCCTCAGTGGGGGACACGCAGGAGGCAGCCAATCGATGTTCTCTCTCATCACTGTTCCTATCTCTCTCTCTCCCTTCCTCACTCTCTAAAATCAATCAAGAAAAAACAACAACAAATAACTGATATAGGACATTGATATTTGAAGACTAAAACCTAAATTCTATTAATTTATTTTTAGCTATATATGTCTATTTTTATATTTATAAAAATAATCAGGAACTTAATGTCACTGGATGGGCCAGAACTCGAGTATGAGGAAAAAATCCAGCAGATCAATACACGTGGGAAAGATTCCCAACCTTATTAGTAACAGAAAATGCATTTTAAAACCACCAGGAGGTAACATTTAACACCCAACAGATGGATGAGTCTGAATACCAAGCACTGGCAAGTTTATTAGTGGGAATAATTCTACATGGATAATGGGAATGTCAATTCATACAATTAGTTATATCGCATTAATAGGAAATATACACAGAGCGCACAGAAATTCTAGTCCTAAGTTCGAAAGGAACGTTCCACGTGTCCCGGGAGGGAAGCACAGGGATATCCAGAGGGGCAGAGATCACAGTAGCGAGAAAACAAAGAAAACTTCAATCAGGGAAAGGTTTTCAGAAACACTCTCGGGACACCTTCACCTTTCACCAGGGATGCAGAGTCCTGATGTGAGGAAGGCCCTCCGATCAAAGTGCTAATAGAGGAAGACATCACTCCCTGGCACAGTGCAGCTGACCTCACCATGACCAATCCCACAAAGCGGGTCACTTTCTTCATTTCCCCCAAGGGAAATAGTAAGAACCCCCATATTCAGGAGCATCATTAACTGAGATAACTGCCAGAGAATCTTATCCATTGCCAGGTGGTCTTGTGACCTGCAGACTTCACAGTTGATGGGAAGATCGGTAATAGAACCCGGTTGGTGTGGCTCCGTGGCTGAGCGTCGACCCCTGCACCCAGAGTCACCAGTTCAATTCCCGGTCAGGGCATATGGCCAGGTTGTGGGCCTGATCACTGGGGGGGGGGGGGGGGGGGGGGGCATGTAGAAGATGGACAATTGATGTTCTCTCACATTGATGTTTCTATCTCTCTCTCCCTCTCCCTTCCTCTCTCTCTAAAACTAAAAAGAAAAAAACAATTTTTAAAAAAGAAGGTAATAGAGATGTTGCCTTTTAGTGTTCAGCTGTCAGACAGGATTTCTGGTCGTAAATTAACATTTAGATATAGAAAATGCACTGAAAAAAAAAGATTCGCAAACTTACTGGATGATGCCTCAGCAAGACGGAGAAAGATACAATAAACTGTAAGACAGAAAATCTAAGAGAGCTGACTGAGCATTTTATGGTGGTGATCTTGTTATACATTCCTCAGTTTTGTGCATATCTTGATTCAGGGCTAGAAAAGAGTAAGTGTGTGAATGAGCAGTGACACATTCTCAGTCACTGGTAAATGCACATGGCAAATGCACAGTCCTCTCCTGGTGCTCCAGTTACCATTTGACTCAATAGCAATATTACCCAACTGCACTCAAGTTATCAGCCATCACATTTAGAAAATTCCATGATACAAAGCAAATTAGGGCTGACTTGTCACATGAACCATGGGGCAGGGTGAAGGGAGGGGAGGGCCCTGGCTAATTGAGCCCAGGCTCTGAAGGGTTCACTGTTCCAGAAAATACACTTGTGCCCTTACTGATGGGCCAACACATGACCAGGGCTTGGGGCTGACCTCTAGCAGGGGGGCCTCCAGCATGGCTCCAACCTCTGTTCCAGTGTGAACTCAGGGATCTAAACCCCTGGTTCACGCAGTTCTCACTGTTTAAACCCAGTGAGACCATGGCCATTATTCTATCTCACAATAGGTTCCCAAATGCCTATTTTCTTTTGGAGAAACTTCTGAAAATTAGTTACTAATGTGTTAGATTTGGATACTCAGAAAGCATCCTGTAAAATACAGCGCCTTATTAAAAATTGCCTTCACATTCGGGTATTAACTTACACTCCTTTGATATCCTTACTTACAGATTGTTCTTTCTTTATTCTTCACTTTTTTGTGTGTTTGATGATTGTTTGAGGTTGACCAGAGACTATATTGCTAGAAACTGATAACACATGGATGCTTGTGGGCAGGAAGGAGCTGTCTGGGCATGAGAAGTGGTTATTAAACCCTGGCTGTGTTAGAAGAGGAAGGATGATGACAAAAATCTTTGCATAAACCACATTTCCATGAAATCATGATATATCATGAAATACTCTTCCTTCCAGCTAATAAGGCCACAGAGGGGAGGCAGCGTCACTTGTCTCCGGCAGACTGGCCTCTCGGGAAGGCACACCCACTGCTCTGGTGGGGGCAGGGCTGGGCACAGAGGATCCCATCAACTTCTCAGTGCAGTGAAATCTGTATATGAAACATGTGGTCTGGCCAGTGTGGCTCAAGGGTTGCGTGTCGACCATGCACCAAGAGCTCATCAGTTTGATTCCTGTGGTCGGCACACATGGCCAGGTTGTGGGCCTGATGCCCATGTAGGGGCATGCTGGAGACGGCCAATCAATGTTCTTTCTCATCTATGTTTCTCTCTCTCTCTCCCTCTCAGTAACTCTCTCTAAAATCAATAAAGGGGGAAAAATATTTTTAAAAAAAGAAGAAGAAGAATAAACGTGTATGTGGAGTGCTGGGTAGAGTTTCTGCAGTTACCTGCCCGTGTGGCCCCCACTGTGACGATTCTCTGCCTTTCCTCCTCTCCCCAAGGCGATGGTCACAAAGTCTCCAATCTTAGTCGGGCTCTCAAGCCTCCTTTTCAATCATTTTACATATTTTTAGTCATTTCTACTTCTCATTTCCTGGAATACAAAGTGTTTTTTTAACCACTCACTTCATAGAACTAAAGTAATGACCACATTGTGTCTCACAGATAAAGAGAAGAGGAAAGACGTGAACACCCCCCACGTCTGATGAGCCTTAAATTCTGACCCCGTGACCCTGAGGTACTCACGTGACCAGAGAGAGAAGAGCATGACTGAGGTTCAGCCCCTCTCTGCGAAAGGGACTTTCAGGGAAATGTCCCGTCTGTAGGCAAGTGCAGCCGCGTTGGTGTGGGACGTCCGGGCTGTGCAGGCCTGGCCCTCGGCCCCATCGCATGGTGGTCTCAGCTCAGGAACATTTCTTTGGCTTTTGATGAAGCTGGAAAGTTCTGTTATCCTCAAAGTAAATGTGACTGAGTAAAATTTCAGTCTTCAGCTGATCATGAAGACTGTGAAGTGTATCATCTCTTTAATGATCCAGGTAAGTCATCCTGGACCTGACCAGGGGTGTTCATCTGTGCGCACATGTGTGAGCATGGACCAGATGCTGATGAAACCTAGGGGCGGTGATTGGGTCCAGGTTTGTTGTCTTGCAAAATCGAAGAAAGAGTTCACGGACAAAGGGGCAAGTGAAAGCAAAGTTTATTTGAAAAACAGATAGACTCCGCACAGCAGGGAGGGGACCCACTCAGGTTGTCAGTGAGGATCCTTAGTCTAGAGGAGGATAGATGCCTTGCTAGCTTCCAAATGGTCCTTTCAAGGAATTCTGACCTAGTGACATCTGTACATTTTAAAGTTTGTGTTTTCCCACGTAACTGGGTTCAGCCCTGAGTCATCTAACTCTAACTTCATATTACCCTTCTGGGAGAAACATATGTGGACATCACTGATTAAACAATAGCTCACCCTATCACGTGACTTGGGGCAGATTTTATTAGCAAGATATATACTGTCCCATAACATTCTCTAGTTTCAAGTGCACAGGTTGTAATTTCAAAACAGTCATTGATTCACTCACCCTGAGATTTGCACAGAAGCTTTACTCCCAGGGAGGAGACAACTTATTTGGGTGTGGTTAAGAAGAAATAAAGTAGCCCCAGGTATCTATGGGGGCCTTAGTGCCTTCCCTTTTTATGAGAACTTCAACTTCTTCCAAACTATTGGTGAGGAGGAGGGGAAATGCCCTTGGAGCAACCTTTCCTTTCCTTTGATCTCTTCCTCAAATGCAACTTTGGTTTCTTACAATCCTTTCCAAGGTAACCTGGCTTCTGCAATAGAAACACACTCTATAGTTTTGCAGCAGAACTCATTCAGCAAACCAGTTGCCTTGCTTCCAGAAACCAGTAGCTTATTAACTGGAAGAGGTCAGCATCACCAGCACTATATTCTTTAACAGTAAATAAAGTTCTTTTTCACACCCATCAGGGTCCCAGAAAAAGGAACTATACAATCAATTGCTGTTCCCCTCTTGCCTGAAACCAGGCTTTCTGGGGTTTTTTTGTTACGTAATTGACTGGTGCTCCTTCCAGGAGCTTCTAATTTGTGATCGAGATAAGCTTGGAGTTTCTAGCCTTGGAGGCACAACTTCCCATGTTGATTTTAGTTTTATTTTGAGATCTGTAGAGTCTGAATAAACTTCCAGATGCACTGAGTCCTGGGTTAAAGCTGCCTGTGTGTGGAGACTGCCTTGCTGCCCTGCCCATGGTCCTGCCCTCACTGCCTAACCTGCCTCTCTCCTCACTGTCAGGACTGGGAAATGGAGAAGGAGGAAGAGCCCTTTCTATCCATGGGTCCACAGAGGAAGGTGAGTCAGCTGAGAAATGCACCTTTCCCCCTCGAGGCTCGCCTGGAGGAACATGCCAGGAGGAGTCAGCGGAGGTGTAGTGACCGGGTCCCTTGCAGTGACTCCTTGAGCAGGACTGAGAGTTGCAGCCAGGGGTGCGGTGCTGTTGGGGGAAGTGTGCGTCTCCTCCCTCTGGGGCAGAGCGCAGGGGCCCCTCTGGGACAGCGCAGGGGAGACGCCTGGGTTTAATTCCGGCTCCACCGCTTCCGAGTGATGCAGCCTTGGGCAAGGGTCCAACTCCTGCTCACTGCAGTTTTTGACTGTAAAATGGGAGGGGGGGGTGATAATAATATACTGACCTCAGGGTGTTGTCAGAAAGATTAAATCAGCTAATTGGTAAACACTCTTATAACAGTTTCTGGCAGCAGTGAGCACTCAAGTAATATTAGGCTGTATTACTATTATCTTTCTTATCGATTACCCTTATCACGATGGCTGGTGGGTAACCGTTCTCTCATCGCCTGGCTGATAAGTATCCAGCACATCTGAGGAGAACATCTCAAGTTCAAAACCCAAAGGAAGCCTGGCTTCCTCCATGTTGGTGGGAATAGGCAGCGGGGAGGACCTGAGGGGAACACCCATTTCAGGCTTTCGACTCTGACACTGTTGTTCCTTCTCCAGGGAACTAACCAGCTCCCCGACACCTGGGAAAACAGCTGAGTCCCTCCCCTCACCCTGGTCCTGATTTTCTCCCACCATTTACATGTGCTGGAATTTGCTGGTGACGCTGAAATAGCAAAAATCAGGTTCACACCTGTAGGTCAAACTCATAGTTGATTTGGGGGTGTTGGCACTTTAGCAACCAGAGCCCAGGCCATGACACAGCCTGAAACCCACTTGGAACTGACTGGACACAGGGAAACGAAGTATCCCCTGCATTTCGAGAAATGGAATCCACTTAGGATATGACCATTGTCACTTCCCTGCAGACCTGTCCCTGTGAGTCCACCCTTGGTTTAAGTTCCAGCTCTGGGTTGTGACGAGATCACGTAAGGTGACGTGTGTCCCCTCATCTGCCTGCCGAGCCCTTCACTCCTCTGCGCACGAGGAACATCTGTCTACACAGAGGAGCAGAGCAGCCACTTCCTCACCCCAGGCCCCAGCTCCGAACCCCAGGCCTCTCCAGCCAGGTGTGGAGACAGACAGCCTTGCAGAGCTGGGCTAACGTGAAACCGAACTAAGACATTGGACACTCTCCTCCTAGGCACATGCAGACGTATGGGAGCAGCATCATTTCTCTCTGGCAGACTAAGGACTATAAGAAAACATATTCAGTTATAGGAAAGGAAAAATGTATCCACTAACAAGGGCATGTTTATATACATATAATACCTTTATACATTTCACAAAGAATAAAAAGAATCATCAGAGAAAATATTACAAACCTTTTGTGAGCCCAGCTGGTGTTGCTCAGTGGTTGAGCGTCGAGCCTGCACCATGAGGTCGCAGATTCCGGGTCCGGACACATGCCCAGGTTGCGGGCCTGATCCCCAGTGTGGGGCATTCAGGAGGCGGCCAATCAATGTTTTCTTTCATCAACGTTTCTATCTCTCTCTCTCTCTTCTTTCCTCTCTCTAAAAAAGAAAAAATTAATGAAAATATAGTTAAACGAACAACAAAAAAAAACTTTTCTGAGACTGGCAAGGCGGTGAGAAAGTGGAGCGGATACAATGCTCCCTGAGAGGACTATAATATACAGATTGGACGCAGTGTCCGTCAGCATCGACCTGGGACTCTAAAAATTGATATTGTATTTCCATAACCCAATATGAAAAGTAACTACATATACAAGACTGACACTGTACTGAGTCATTTACAAAACTAATTAACGTTTTCTCTACTATGTTGCTTGATTTTCAATGTGCTGCATCTTTTTGTTCTTATGCGGAGATGCTGTACCCACAACTGCTGATGACAACATGCTGAGCACAGATTTGGGCGGAGAGCCAAGTCCTAGAGAAGCTCAGGGCTCCAGGTGGGGAGAGCAGGCGCCCTGGAGGGCTGTGCAGCCTCTTTCTCAGCTCAGCACCGCCCCCACCTCATGCCCACAAAGGGAGCCTGAGCTAAACTAGAAATGACTGGCATAGAGCGTTCGCAGTGTGTGAGGAGGAACAGCAATCTGACCTTAAAAACATTCTCTCAGCCAATGAGGTCCAGGTGTAGGGCAGCGTCACTTGTCTCTGGAAAACTAGCCCCAAACTCACAAGAAATGAGCTACTCTGTATAGAAACAACACCAAAACAATATAGAAGAAACAAAGACTATCACAAAACCTCACGAATGTATCTAACTTAACATGAAAAGCAGGTATCACACGAACATCTAAAATTAACAATGTGATTCTAAAAGTGAGTAGAAATGATGAAGAGGCAAGACTAATGAAAAACTTTTCTCTTTTACTGAACTTAATACTAGATTTATAATTACTCTTTTCTCAACCATGCTGTTTAATTTCCAAGTGTTTCCTTTTTTAAGCATGCGATTTATTTTCTTAGGAAGACAATAACTTCTCAAGTATTCCTGCAGTCTGGGAGGGCGGGGCATTTCCTGGAGTCGCCCAAGCACAGTTACCTGGCCCTACACTCCCCGCCAATGAGAACAAAGGCAGGTGAATTCATGGTGGCTGCATTCCTCACCGAGGTGACCCGGACACTTGAGTGACAAGTTTCGTGTTAGTTCAGGTTGTAGACCTACAATCCCTTGTCACCTCATGGTCAGCTGTGTAGGTTGGGGTACTTGAGAAATGCAAGGCTGGGTAGCAGCCTTCTCGAAGTCTAGGGTGCCTCTGCACGCTTGGTGCCTGGATGTGGGACCCTGAAAACCAGTCTCCTCTCCACCCCAAAGGCTCAGGCTGTCACCTCCAAAAAACTTGTCTCATCATTCTCTCAAACTCCACCACCAGGGTTTTTTGAAGAGCGACGCTGGCCCAAGTCTGTGACAGCCTGTTTGTTATCTGAAGGACCGAGATGCTCCCCTCTTACCCCCAACACTGCACAGCCCTGAGGAAAACCCAGCTTGTTATATTCATGATGTTCATCCGTGGGATGAGCAGGGAAACAAGTTTGCACATTATAGCAGCAGTAAAGCAAGACCGTGTTTTTAATGTGATCTAGGCCGTGAGGACACAGGAAGACTAGAGAGCAGAGGTTCTCACTTCAGGGCAACCTCCCCGACCCCTCACCCCAGAGGGCATTTGGAGACATTTCTGTGTTCACTGGCATCTGGTGGGTGGAGGCCCGGGGTGCTGCTAACCATCCTGCAATGCACAGGACAGCCCGCAATGAAGAACGATCCTGCCACATGTCAGCAGCGCAGGGTTGAGGACGCCCGCGGGGCCTTGCCCTCCAGGCCCACCTGCAGCCCCGGGAGTTGTTAGATGCTGAGCGCAGCACCCACCCCAGACCTGCTGAATCAGATCTGCCTTGTACCACGAACCCAGACATCTGGACACAGCACAGCTCTAGAACCTGCTTCAGGACGGTGGCCTAGACAGAGCTGCACACAGGTCACCTCCTGCCCGGCCCGCTACCTAGCCCATCAAATGAGAATGTCTGAGAGTACAGCTCGGGCGTGTTTTATTTTTCTTTATTGATTCTAGAGAGAGAGAGGAAGGGAGAGGGACAGAAACATCGATGAGAGAGAACATCGATTGGCCGCCTCCTGCATGCCCCCCACTGGGGATTGGCCCACAACCTGGGCACGTGCCCTACCAGGAATTGACGTGACCTCCTGGTGCATGGGTCCACGCTCAGCCGCTGAGCCTCACCTGCCGGGCGTCTCGTGCATATTCTAAAACCTCCTCCAGCGTATCCTTCTGCCCAGCCAGGTCAGAGAACCACCACACTAACGTCTTAAATGGGTGCAGGGAGGTCAGAGTCAGCAGGGAGGAAAGACCCTGACCTGCAGGCTGGGACCCCGGTAAACACTGCAGCCAACACAGGGGGCAGTTTCCTCTGTCAGTGCAGGTGCAGTCAGGGCCCATCTGCAGGGAGGAAGGGCAGGAGCAGGGGGCACCTGATCACAGGTCTGCCTCTTACAGGGCTCAGGCAGCACCTCAACAATTCCTCGCCCTGAGTGGTCTGTTTCATAAACTCAGGGCAGTTGTGTGTATTATAGAAACATTACAAGTATAGTACTAGTAACTTTTATTTCCATGAACCCATTTCGGAATAACTTGCTAACCCAGTGCCCCATTTCCCTTGAATACCTTAGTGTATATTTCCTGCACACACATGTACATTCTCTACATAGTGACAGTATAGCCATCAAAACTGAGAAACTGATCCATCACTACAGTCTAATTCTCAGATCCCATCAATCTACCCAATCACTGCCTTGAGAGCAAAGAATCAAACTCAAAATCATGATGCATTCAGTTGTCAGGTCCTTTAATCTTTAACACAGAACCAGTGTTTCCAATTCCTAACAAATATCTGTCTTCAAATTTTGGGAACAAAACATTGGAATTTCCCAAACTATAGTTTCTGTATTTATATACTTATTTATTCAGTGTTTTAAAATAATAATAACAGGAATCATTTTTCTGTGACAGGGTTATTCTAATGTTTCAGAGGTTTTCTGTAGAAAAGTAAACAGTATAACAATAAATCTGTGGTTTATTCTTATAAAACAATACATTATAACAATATTATATACTTCAAAAACAGTGTCAAATGATATTTACCTGATATAAATATTTGCTAATAGAACCCATTAAAAGAAGAGAACATCAATGGAATATAAATGCTCAATAAAAGCACTTAAAATTAAAAAGTAATACCATAAAGAAATAATACTTTAAAGTTAGCATTCTTAAATTAAAATTTTAACTGCCCAATCAGATATTCTGCTCTTTCTCTCATTACAAATTTTTCAGACACAACATTTTTTTCTATTTTGTGATGCTATTTGCCGGATTGTTAAAAGTACACCTAAAAACATCTTTATTTTGGACTTGATGGCACTTGGTGACTCAGATAAACTCATTTCCTTCTTTAATGACGAAAATAATTTGTCAGCTTTACAAGTGACTGCATGTTGCAGTGACTATCGGAACCCTCAGCAAGGACAAGACCAGCATCGTTGAATTGTATTCAAATGATGTAACATTAGGGTCTCCTAGGAGAGGTTAACAATACTATACACAATCATGTGACAAAATTGCCAACATAAGGGCTCATCTTGCTTCTAAAACTTGTCGTTTCTGGGAACAGCAGTCATAGGATCTGTGTTAAAAATAGTACACATATAAGCTTATTGCTATTTGATTTATTTGTCAGAATGACTCTCCATTACCAGCAGAGACGTTGGACACACACGTAACATGCAACAGCTACACCAAGCTCACTGATGGATTCGTGACTTTTTCTTAATAGCTCCTGGTCCCCTCCTGGAAATGATGACCGTGACTTTTGACTCTGTGTGTCAGTGTTTTTGGTTCTTGTCTACACTTGATATGAGTAGATTTCTTCAAACAAGTAACATTTCTATGTTGATTGCTAATTCTCTCACACTTTCCCCACTTCTCAACTGACTTTTGCGGGATACAAGATTCAGAAAAATATAACTGTCAGAGAAGTGCCAGGAAGGAACACCCACACACCATCATCACTGGACTAGGTCTCCATCTTCTCCTGATGTTCATAACCTTGACACCCTTGCAGACTACAGGTCACTTATTCACAAAGTAACCTCTCGTTTTACTTTGTCTGATGTTTCTGT